TCTTCTGACTGTGTGTGGCCACCATTTATTGACTGCACTCACCATACCAGCTTAGTGGTTCGCTATGGTGAACACAAATGTAGATACTTATATATAACGTGTGTATAGTGTGAGATAACAGCGAGAGTAGGAGGTTGGGAGCCGCCATTTTGGTGAGAGAGGAGCGTCGTCTGCACGACTTGGCATGGTGTTTATGAGCTGTCAGACGGCAGTTGCCACAAATATATTATTACCTAATTATTTCAATGTCTCCGATTGATTTTTTCTTAGTTTTTTTGCAGTAATATTATTCCATACAGTGAATTGTGGTATATTTATATTATAAAATGTGTGAACCATCGCTGTACTCAAAATTATGGTGTGCATATTAGTGATTCAATTATTATGTTCATAAAACAATAAACAAATAGTTTTGCTGTTGTTACACTATATACACAGGTTATATATAAGTATCTGCGTGTTTTGTACACCATAACGAACTACTAAGTTGGTCGTGTGAGTCAAAAAGCAACGAGGAGTGACCGCCAAACACCAGCAAGCCACTCACTGCCACTCCCTCCCTCAACACCACCTCACTCACTCTCATTTACCTCCCACAATACTCTTTCTGTATTTATTTATAAGCTGAACAGCGGTGCTGTGCGCTCGTGCTGCGTGCGCCAGCCTTGGTGGCTTGCTCAATACTGACGCTGTAACACCCAAGAATGTTGGCCTGGATTTTTTTTCTAGGTGGCATCTGGCAACTATCGGTCGTGGCTGTACTATAGCTGCCCCTATCCCTGGCGGGGCGTTTAAATTATAGCGCTAGACACAAAATCATATATAAATGATGTGCGCGGTTTCGGTTTTGTCACTGATATCATTTATATATGATATGCGCGGTTTGAGGGTTAAAGACTAAAACTTAATACTAATTGAGATTAAAGTATAAAATGTGTTGAGAAAAAAATAAAAAATAAAAAAGGGGGGAACATGGCTGAAAAAACAGCACAAATACAATTAGGTCAACAAACAGCATTGTTTTAAAAATAACAGACATGGGTTGACAATATAGGGGTAAGGTAGGTTACAGGGAATTTATTAGGTAGTGCTTAGTTTTTATCTTAAACTGGTTGAGAGAGGTACAGTCTTTAACATGATTGGGAAGGTCATTCCACATTCTGGGTCCCTTGATTTGAAGAGCATTTCTAGTTTGATTAAGTCATACTCTTGGAATATCAAAACGCTATTTGTTTTTGGTGTGGTGCTCATGGGTTTTGTTACAACCTTCAATGAAGCTTTTGAGGTCAGGATTGGCATTACAATTCAGCATTTTATATATATATATAATACACATGAGAGGATGTGCAGTGACTTAATATCTAACATATTCAGAGATTTGAGTAGGGGTACCGAGTGATGTCTGGGGCCAGAGTTGGATATTGTCCTAATAGCAGCTTTGTGTTGAGTAAATTAGAGGACGGAAATCATTTTGGGTAGTAGAACCCCAAGCACAAATACCATAGTTGAGAAATGGATAGATGAGGGGAGTAATAGAGCATCACCAGGGCAGGGCGAGGTACATAATATCTGATCTTAGAAAGAATGCCAACAGTTTTTGAAACTTTTTTTGATATATTTAGAATGTGTCCCTGGAAATTCATCTTGTGGTCAATTAGAACACCAAGGAATTTGCCATCTATTTTGTTACAAATTTGGGTATTGTTTATCCTGAGATTTATTTGGTTAGAGGATTTATTGCCAAACAGAATATAGAAAGTTTTGTCAATGTTAAGGGTGAGTTTGTTGGCAGTTAGCCAAAGATGGACTTTATTTACAATGTTCAAATATCAGTGATTCAATGCTGTTCACGATATTCACAGCGCCACAGCATTATTTTGTCCATCTAGGACTCTTCAAACGACTTCTTAGGTTCCTTTTCAAAATAAACTTGTGGTCAATTATTCATTTACAGGAATTGTGGTTATAATTAGGATGACCAGGATTGTGGTTATAATTAGCGTTGTGCGTAGTATTATGGAAGGAAGAATTTTGGTGAGGGAGGGAAGAAGGAAGAGAACTGAGGTAGCCTCACTGTGTGGCAACCACTCTTTTTTTTTTTGCTCACCATACTAGCTTTGTGGTTCGGTATGGGGGAACACACATGTACATGGGTATATACAGTGTGTGTGTATAGTGTAATAACAGCAACAGGAGTATGTTGAGTGGAGCTATTCTGGTGAGGGAGGTGACGTCATAATCGTAGCATCGTCTGCTGTCTGCTGTGTGATTTCTCATGCAGTGTATGGTGGCCACTGTACTGTTTGGACACAATACTGGCTTACTTGCATAGTTCTGGTAAATAAAACATGTAGATAGGTATATATAACATGTGTAAATAGTGTAATAAAAACAATAACAGAATGGTGGGAGGAGCAATGTTGGTGAGTAAGGAGTGAGGGAGGGCCTGTCTGGGTGTGGCTGCTCACACTCGTGATGTTCTGAATGTGTTGATGGTGAATGTGTATAGTGTGTGACAGTGTATAGTGTGTACATATGTTGTAAATATACATAAATGAACATGAAACATTAGTGTGAATAACTGTATGATGGGAGGAGCCATGTTGGCGAATACAATGTTGGAGGAGTGAGGGAGAGCTGGCTGGGTGTGGCAGCTCACACTCACTGTGTTTTGAGTGTGTTGACGGTGAATGTATATAGTGTGTGACAGTGTATAGTCTATAAATAGATTGTATATATATACATAAATTATCATGATACATGGTAAATATGTGCGACCTATGTGTACACAAGTGTCATGCACGTAACACAGTGTCCTCAGACAGTACGGATGTTTATTAGCACGTAAAAACAAATAAAATGTATTTGGAACTGTGCACAAAAAATGAACAAAAATATATTCGCGGCAACTCACGCGGCCCGCCCTGGGCGCCCTACTGGCCCTGGGAGTGTACGTCACAGGCGAATGGGGAATGATGACGTTACGCGCCAACTTACGGACCCCATAGCAGCCAAAATAAGCACAATTTCGAAATTTTTTTGACATACCCATACTGAGGGAAGGGTTTTTGACACTTAAAAAAAAAAAAAAAAAAAATTCAAGAGAATTTATTTCCTGCTCACTGGGGGGGGGGGTGTCATATTTGGAGGCGGCACTGTTAAAGGGTTAAGGACCCCCTTAGCAGCTTAAGGGTAAAGACTGTCTCCCTTTGAATGTTTGCAAGGTCTATATTTATTTTTACTAGTCAATCCTCTTATTGTTGAAATTGAATTAATTGAATACCCCCTTCTCGCTTGTTGGTTCTTTTGGACCTACTACCGTTATTTATGTTAGTTTGCACTTCAATGAGCTTATTTAACCCTTAGACCACACATATTACTGCGAATTTAGAGGGCATAACATCGAAAAATATTCAAATTATGTAAAAATAACTTAAAAATGTTAAACAAATCTCCAACTTATTGGCTTCAGTGTTGCGAAATTCTCATAAAAATATTTTCAGAAATTGATTTTAAACAAATTTTTGAAAAATAAGAACGTTTTGTTGATAAGAAGAACAGCTCCTAATAACTATAACTGAAGAATTATGCAATAATAAAGAAATGCAAGCACCTGTCCTATGCTCAAAGAAGAAGAAAAGTAGTAAGAAGTGTCCACAAAGTGGATATGCAGTTGGTGTCTTTATATCATTGCCGAGTAATACATAATAACACAAAACATAATGAATAACTATGTTAATATGATCTATTTTGTTATATATCATATAAATACATTGTCCAATGTTAATATATGTTACTTTCATCAATGACCCAAAAATAATTTTTTTAGGGGATTTTTTTTTTTTTTTTTAAGATTTTAGTTATTTTTTCTCCTTTGTTTATTATCTGATTTTGTTTTAACCTTTACATCCTGGAGAATGCATATGTTTTCATAACTATGTGAAGATAGAATGAAATTGGTCAACAAATAAGTCAGTCACAACTAGCAAAACTTGGGACTTAATTTTTTTGGCTGATTTTTTTCTCTGATTTCAAACTATTTTCTTTGTCTCTTTAGGTTGTTTTGATGATTAGGGACCATATTAGGGCTTTTTCACTTATATAAAGGATACCCTAAATATATCCCCTAAATCATTATATTTATTATAATTATCCCTATATTTTGTGTTTTTTGGGGGTTATTTTTTCTTGACTTCATTTCAACACATATTGACCTACAACTTTCACATATTCGAGTACGAATGCCAAACAATATTTATTAAAACATACAATTAAATTGACAAATTAAAACTACCTTTATTCATTGTTGATAACTTCAACTTCAATTATTTCTGAAACCAGAGTTTCAACTTTGAGTGGCTTCTAAAATTCCAGTTATTAACTGATTCTCACTATTTTGACATATTGTGTGCTCTGCTGTCTGTTCTACAATCCCATCAGAATGGATTTTTCATAAACTTTATACATTTGGAGTTATAATCTTTTTTTGGTCTAAATTTGCCGCATACGTATTTCAAATGTCCTATTGACGATTTTTTTTTACAGTAAATTATACTAAAAACCTATATTCTAATTTAATGAAAATGAAGATCATATGCTATTCTGAGAGAATAATAACATTAAATGAACAATTAATGATAGTTCATATTTTTTATTCTGAATTGAAAATCTGAAGTTTTCAATATTCAATTTTAAAATTAATTTTGATTCTCTGGTTTTTCAAGTTACGCTGTGATCATTTAGACAAAGTTGGAGCATTTGCCTAGTTGATTATGCAAAAAAAAATGGAAAGTGTTTGTGCAAGTTTTAAAAACTTATCTTAAATTATTTTTTGTCAAATCATATATTGCGCGGTCTAAGGGTTAAATCTTTCATTTTTTGCCATAAGTACGTGCTGCCTTAAGTAGGGTGGCACTTTTGTAGAGTACTGTACAGTAAACATACTTGTATGTACAGTATTTCTTTGTGCAATTAATTTATATTTCATTTGTGTGTTTCAGATTGCCTGGTTAAGATGATAAGTGCAGGGGGCTGCTCCTCTGACTCTGTTGCTCTGTCACGTCCTTTCTGCAAGAGAATGAATCATCTGTACATTACCTTCATGATTTGTTTGTTAGTGTTACTTGTTAGTGCAGAGGAATGGACTCTAACATACCATTATAGACATGGTGCGAGTTATACAGGGTCTAACAAGCATTTTGTGTAGAGGAGCGGGGTGCTCAAGACCTCCAGCCTAAGATGCAGTATATTAATATGAAGCCTACAACAGCCTCTTGTAGATTATATTGTTGATAATGATGCCTTAAAATCAGAGTCCAGCAGAGTTGGCTTCATAGGTGAGTGTTTGTGAGTCGCCACCATGATAGAGATAGTGAGTCTCTTGAAATGTCCAAGGTTGATGATACTATACAGTTTATTTTTTAGGGAATCATAACTCTTGACAATGATCCTTATCTTTGTAAACTGAAGATATTGTATACTTAAAAATATTTCATTATATTATTACACAAATTGTTGTATACTATAAATCTTTATTGCTTATAGGAAAAGTTATCATTCTCATACTTATCATTGTCAACAAAAGGTAAAGACAAAATTACCACTGATATCATGTCATTTCCATCACTATATTATGTTTATAAGTTTTTATATGTTTAGCTAGCTTATCATTTTGTATAGTTTAATTTATTTTTTTTCAGCTTTTCCCAGCAAACACATAATGAAATAATATATTGTGCCAGTTGATACTAACCTGCAAATGATAGGGTCATGATTGGCTATGCTTGCTTGAGTCCTGGCAAAAGCAAATAACTGAAGGAGGTATGGAACAGTGGTACAAAGAAAATGAGAGTCCCATAGGTGATAATTGGTATGGGCAGAAAACTGAAGAAATTGCCTCCAAGCTGGATTTTTATAGTACTTGAGTTATGGAGAGGCCTTACATTCAATATTAATTAAAGACATTGATAAATGCATAGGCAAAATTTAACTGGAAATCTGTGTTATGCTCAAGTGGTGATAAGGAATCTGGTGCATGATGCACTGAGCAGCCCAGACTCTCAACATGGCCTCAGACTCTCATGGAAGCGCTGTCTTGCGTCCTTTGCCCATTCCAGCCGTGCTAGAGTACAAATAGGTTAGAGCCGAGGCCATCCTGCCCTGTCTTGTCTCCTGCAGTCCTGCCCTGGACCAACTGGCCCGTGACCACATCCCCTAAAGTCTTTGGTCTAAAGGTTCCTAAAGCCATCTAAGTCAGTCTTTTTCTTCATGACCGACGTGTGTTCAGGCCTGTGAGCCACCTTTCTGTTGGCCATTATATTTTTTATTTCTTAAAAGGGAGTCTTGATTTGAGCTAATATGGTTGGCTTTAGGTCCATTTGACTGCAGACACAAAGTGTACAGAAGGACACAGCTTCTGTTGTAGATGTTAAGAGGCGGCAGTTGCTGGAGGACCTCTAGTGCTTAATATCTAGAGTCTAGTGTGCTTTGGAGAGTATGGAGCCTGTCTTACCCTCCTCTATCCCACTCACTAGGTTTACTACTGTTGAGTTGCAATGGGATAAGGAGCTGGTACAGTTTCACTCTGCTGGCATCAGGTCACAGCCGTATTGTACAAACTCTCCGGCCGCTGCCGTGATGCTTGCTGCCTGCTGCCACCAACTAGCTATTTATTTATTTGTGTAATGATCATCCCAGTCTGTGCTGTGCTTCATGAGATGGACTACATAAACAGCAAGCAGCAAGCGGCTTCTCTGTATATTGTATACAGACTCTCCTATTGGTTATTGTGCATTAAACAACTCTCCCTATGGTCCTTCCTCTTTGGGGTGCGGGAAATAACCAGCTAGGACGTCTTGTACTCACCACACATAAACACAGGGGGTTACAGTAAACTGGTATTTTGGCTAACCTGGAGTTTTATTATGCCTTTGGTATTATCAGTTTTTATAGGTTCAAAAAATTATTATCCTTATGTCAGATCCATAATAAAAAATACTGTACATCTTTTAACTTTTTCTTTTTTTAAGCCCATTTGAATTCAGATTTTGTATTTATGTCATATAATAGACATTTTATTTAAGAAAATATTGTAATTTTTCCAAGTTTTATCTAATTATATTGTCTTTTAAAACATGGTTCATAATTTAGATTCTAAGGAATGCAACCCATCCTCCTGTTTAGAAAATACTTTTTGTAATTATGTGGACCATCATACGTATAGACATAATGGATAATTAGTAGAATTGGGTATGATGCACTTCACTCTTGTATAAATAAATAAATAAATAAATAAATTAGAATTCGAAAAAATAAAGCTAAAAACCAAACTTGAATATTCATAAGCCTTGTATAGCACATATATGTACTATATTTGGCCTCAGATAGCATGTATTAGGCCTAGGAAGGTTAGGTTAGGTTAAGTTTTCTTTGCAAACATCAGTACAAAAACTTTTCCGGTTTGTCCAAATTCATTTGTATCGATTTCTACTTTCTAATTCCCTTTTACGTCAATATATGTACAATGGTCCTCATTGTTACTATAAGTATTACCTAAACAGGAGGATGGGCTGAAAGAATGAGACTTGTTTATTTGTTTATTATGATCAACTTGCATTGTCTTAAGGCATGACCCTTAATGAGCAGCACTCATAAAAATTGCCACCCTGCCTGTGAGCAAAATTCCGGTGCTAAATGTAATGAAATGTGGCTTTCTGGAGGAGTCCCAGTGATTAAAGTGCTGAGATTGCTCCATACTACATTGTCACATTAGTCTCAGAAGTTGTTTGGTCTACCGGATGCCAGAACCTGGTCTCTTCTCACAAAAATGCAATGAGCAAGTGAGAATTCACAAAAAAAAAAAAATCCAGAAAGTCAGTGAAGTTTTACAGACAACTGGAGAGCTCGCAGAAAATAAAGCCTCAACTACCAAACAACCCTGCAAACGATTCACACAGAATAAAAGTTTCACTCAAACTATCTCAAAACTCCATAGTACTGACTACTGCCACAACACCATCAGGTGGCCCAGTGTGCTTCACCATGCCCCGGTCCTCAGCCCTCGGCTGACTCCCCATTTCAGTTTTGGAATTGATGAACTGACGACTCTGGTATCAGGCTTGGGGAAAATAATAGAGCTAGCAGGGCTCCTCCAAAAAGAGGCGTTTCATTACATTCAATGGTGGGCTTCTAGAGGAAGCCTCCTGGTGGCTCCATGAAGCTAACCACAGAGAATAAAAATGGGACCTACCAGGAAGGAGAGGCAGCATGCACTAGAATGAGGAAGAGAATCCTGACTGGAAGGCACAGCAGCCAAAAGCCAGCACACACTACCAACTGGGACCAGGAACACTGACTAAATACTGGGCTGCATGAACCATGTTAAACACCAAAATCCCCAAGCCCAAATATCAGCCCAGGACTTGTTGTAGAAGACAGCACCTGTTGGGTAGATCGCAGGTTGGCTAGATTTAATGACATAGCCCCCTCTGTTTAAATCCCTAAACATGCTAAAGATACACTCATTCCACACATTTTTGTGTGCTATTTACATGTACCAAACCTTGTTCCTAAATGCTAATCTGTATCTGGAACGCTTGATAAATGTAATAGAATCCATAAGCACCACACACCAGAAATAAATATCTTTTTGATATCCCCTAGACTCAAACTAAATCTGTGCAAACACTCCATGCAAATCAAAGGACCCAGTCTATGGAATTCACTTCCCTAATGAATTAAAAAATTGTCCAACCTATGCCGTATTCAAAGTAAAACCAAAAGTACCTTATTTTATCTTCATAATTTCCTACCTTGTACTTCAAACTCGCACTGTATTTTGTGCTACCCCATCCCCCAATATTAGTACTTAAGACATGCAACCTCACTAGTGTAATAATTTCCATCAATTTATATTGTAGTTATTTTGTTGAACTCAAATTTTGCTACAATGTATTTATTAATAATCTTACCTAATCTGTAAGATTAAGGACCTACCCAAAACTCTATATGTGTTAGTGGCTTTGCAAGAATTTAAGAACACCAATGTTATGTACTCCCACAAACCCAATGTACCATTACACACAGAAATCACACTAACGTGATGTATCAAATGAACAAATCCACAAGGGCCGTGACGAGGATTCGAACCTGCGTCCGGGAGCATCCCAGACACTGTTCCCTGTCATAGCTCAGTCGATTAAGGCAGTGTCTGGGATGCTCCTGGATGCAGGTTCAAATCCTCACTACAACCCTTGTAGATTTGTTCATTTGATGCATCACTTTAGTGTGATTTCTGTGTGTAATGATGTAAGGGCGAAGAGGGAGAACGACCTATTGACATAGCTCGAGTGCAGGGGGGAATTGTGTAAAACCCTGGTTTGTGCCTCGGAGAGGCTGCGGGATCCAGTAAGTTCAGTAGAACTTTGGTTTCAACTCTTTTAACCCTGTCGTAGCTCAGTTGATTAAGGCAGTGTCTGGGATGCTCCCTGACGCAGGTTCGAGTCCTCGTCACGGCCCTTGTGGATTTGTTCCAATGTACCATGCATAAAAATGAAAAAAAAATGTAAAAAGCACTGAAGATGATTTGAGAAATGTGAACCTTGGAGCAGGGAACAAAGGAAATGGGGTAAACCAATAAGGCATCCACCAGTTATGAATGTGTAACGTCACCAGTGTAATGAATTTACTCAGTTTCTAGAATCGAGCCACAGAGATTTTACAGGAAAAAGAAGGTGGGTTGATTGCATCTATCTGGACCTAAAAAAAACTTTCAATAGAGTTCCACATAAGAGGTTGTTCTGGAAACTGGAATATATAGGAGGGGGTGACAGGCAAGCTTCTAACATGGATGAAAAATTTTCTGATAGAAAAATGAGGGCAGTAATCTGAGGCAATGTATCAGACTCAGACAAATCGACTTGAGAATGGTCCAGGATGGACCAAAACGTCGTCGTCCCTTCAACTTCTAGTGTGTGGTCTGGTCAACATATCAGACTGGAGGAATGTCACAAGTGGCGTACCACAGGGTTCAGTTCTTGCACTGGTAATGTTCATTGTCTACATAAATGATCTACCAGATGGAATACAGAATTATATCAACATGTTTGCTGATGATGCTAAGATAATAGGAAAGATAAGAAATTAGATGATTGTAATGCTCTCCAAGAAGACCAGGACAAAGTAAGTATATGGAACACCACTTGGCAAATGGAATTTAATGTGAATAAATGCCATGTTATGGAAAGAGGAATAGGAGAACATAGACCCCACACAACCTATAAATTATATGAGAAATCATTATTGAATTCTGATAAAGAGATCTAGGGGGAATTCTAGATAGAAAACTATCACCTGAGGACCACATCAAATTCAAATGTTTATTCAAGTAAAGTACATACATACAAGGTGTGATACAAACATTGATGAATTTATAGATAGAGCTCGTACATACAATGCCTAAAGCCACTATTACACAAAGCATTTCAGGCAGGAAAAACATTAAGACTAAAACTTAATACTAATTGAGATTAAAGCATAAATTGTGTTGAGAAAATAAAAAAATAAAAAAAGGGGGGAACATGGCAGAAAAACAGCAAATATACAATTTGGTCATCAAACAGCATTGTTTAAAATAGCAGACATGGGTTGATATTCAGGGGTAAGGTAGGTTACATGGAGTTAATTAGGTAGTGCTTAGTTTTTATCTTAAACTGATTGGGAGAGGTACAGTCTTTAACATGATTGGGAAGGTCATTCCACATTCTGGGTTTCTTGATTTGTAGAGAATTTCTAGTTTAATTAAGTCGTACTCTTGGAATATCAAATAGGTATTTGTTTCTGGTGTGGTGCTCATGGGTTCTGTTACAACCTTCTAAGAAGCTTTTAAGGTCAGGATTGACATTACAGTTCAGCATTTTATATATATAAAATACACATGAGAGGATGTGCAGTGACTTAATATCTAACATATTCAGAGATTTGAGTAGGGGTACCGAGTGATGTCTGGGCCCAGAGTTGGATATTGTCCTAATAGCAGCTTTGTGTTGAGTAATTAGAGGACGTAAATGATGTCCCCTGCCATGCCCTGGTGACGCTCTATTACTACCTCATCTATCCATATCTCAACTATGGCATTTGTGCTTGGGGTTCTACTACCCAAAATCATTTACGTCCTCTAATTACTCAACACAAAGCTGTTATTAGGACAATATCCAACTCTGGCCCCAGGCATCACTCGGTACCCCTACTCAAATCTCTGAATATGTTAGATATTAAGTCACTGCATATTCTCTCATGTGTATTATACATATATAAAACGCTGAACTGTAATGCCAATCCTGACCTCAAAAGCTTCATTGAAGGTTGTAACAGATCCCATGAGCACCACACCAGAAATAAATTCAGTTTTGATATTCCAAGAGTACGACTTAATCAAACTAGAAATGCTCTACAAATCAAGGGACCCAGAATGTGGAATGACCTTCCCAACCATGTTAAAGACTGTACCTCTCTCAACCAGTTTAAGATAAAAACGAAGCACTACCTAATAAATTCCCTGTAACCTACCTTACCCCCCTATTGTCAACCCATGTCTGTTTTCTTAAACAACGCTGTTTGTTGACCTAATTGTATTTGTGCTGCATTTTCAGCCATGTTTTCCCCTTTTTTATCTTTATTTTTATTTGTTCTCAACACATTTTATTCATTTATACCATGTTTTTCCTGCCCGAAACGCTTTGCCTAATTGTGGCTTTAGGCATTGTATGTATTAGCTCCATCTATAAATCGATCAAATTATGTAAAATCTCTTGTATGTATGTACCTTACCTGAATAAACATTTTATTCTATTTTATTTTATTTTATTTTGGGTAGTAGAATCCCAAACACAAATACCATAGTTGAGATAAGGATAAATGGGGGAGTAATAGAGCGTCACCAGGGCAGGGCGAGGTACATAATATCTGATCTTAGAAAGAATACCAACAGTTTTTGAAACTTTTTTTGATAT